AAACAGATGCTTGAAACAAAATTCAGTTTTGGTTTGGTTGATCTGAGGACTTTTTTATTAACTTGAAAATCAAATTCATCTAAAAATTAATAGTCAATAGAGATCCTCCACTAGATTTATACAGACTGAAATAATTCCAGACCAAACATTCTGCAGTCTGAACGCAGGGCTTTTAGGTCCTTATGGCAGTCAACCATAAGCCTTGAAATAAGTCACTACTCTGAGCCTTAAACTTCATCCAGTAAATCAGGTTCCTCTTAGAGACAGGAGATACAGCATTCCATTATTGGGTGCAGTTGAAATAGCTTGAGAAAAAAATAAAGGACTAAAACTGAAAATACATACCTGAAAAGCATAAACACAGTAGCTGGCATCAAGAAAATTTCATTGCAGGCTATAAATTTTAAGATGTTTTGTTGATTAGCGTTTAGCTTGTCCAACAGATTTCTTAGAAAAGGAAAACTATTTGACCCTCGTGCCTTAAAGGAAGTGAGAAAAACAAATAAATAGATGCCCCTGTAAATTATTTGCTTCGGTTTACAATAATTTACACAAGGTCAAACTATGAAGATATTTTCAGCTCTAATATTTATAAACCATGAAAGGCACCAATTAACTGCCTAAGATCTAAATCAGCTTCCCCAACATGCTGATCCCTGCAAATCTAAAGAATTAACTTTGAATACCACTAAAGAAATCTCTAAGCATGGAAAGCATATTTCATAGCCCCAAGAAGACAAAAATATCGCTAGCACGTATAACAGTATCTCACAACTGCTTTATCCGTTCCACGTTAACATATACATAGTATGTATCCCCACAACTGCCTGCTGACAAGTATGTTCATTAGAGCATGGCCGGTAATTTCTCGCCACTAGAAATAATTAAGATAATCTTCACAAAACAGGCCATAGAGATGCAGGAAATGAAAGTGACTGGCCTAAAAGAATTTCGTTGCCATCAGCAGAGGAGAGGGATTTATTGCTTCTCTAATGAGCACAAAAAGACAGCAGGCTGCAGAGGAAAGATGTAGGAATGTGCTCTTCTGTCCCCTTAATTGTAGAAGGAAAGCCTCTATAACCCGCATAGCTCTCAAACCAGGAAGACAGGGTTAGATAGATGTCAGCTTCGTACTTACATCAAGAACTTTCTTTGTGTAGGTCACAGCATGAAGCAACGAAAACAGCAAAACTGGGAAAATGCTCACTGAAGCGAAAATTAAGGAAAATGGTCACAGTAGTACACACTTACCCTCTAAACTGACTAATCAGAAATCTCTCCTCTGGTCAGAATACAACCATAGAAGTTGCAAAATAATCTCGCTGAGATTTATTGCCACATCCATATCCAATATTGACTAATTTTGGAAACTAAGCAGGGCTGAACCTGCTTAGTATTTGGATGGAAGGGTACCAGGAGTGTAGACTGGATTTGACAATTTTTTAAAAATCCCAGAATTGGGGAATGATAAACCACGGTTACATGGCTAAGAAAAGAACATGTATATATCCATGTCATTGCCAGGATTCAGATTAGCCCTGAGGAAAATTTTCATTTACATCATAAACTGGTATCAGTATAAAAACCCACCACTCACTCCTAGTATTAATATGAGCAGAACAGACTTGTGAATAGACATGGCTAATTTGGCAGTTAATTAAACATAATTAAGAACTCGTTGCATTTTTTAGAATTATAATCCTCCTCCAAAGGCTCAAGGCAACATAAAGAATTATTTTTCCCTTTTATCTTTTCAACATTCCTGTGAAGTTCATAGCTACCTTGGCCCAGGATAAGGACTTTAATCTGGACTGCCTTTAATCTCATGCCAGCCCTACCACAAATGTGTAAACCCACGTATTTAGGGAAGGGTTACACTGACACAGAACACTCTTAGAAAAGGATACTTGTAACAGGGTAGGAATTAACGAAGATGAGAGAATATAGAAGATAGTGGCAACTATCCTCCAACAAGGCCTGAGATAGGAATGCCCGGCTTAACTGGAAATGTGGCAGCCTTTGGTGGAGTCGAAGGGCGCTCGTGAGCGCATTTGCCAGCAAAGCCCGCTGGTAGAAGCTAGCCGCTTCATGCAACCTGAGAATTATCAGAGGAGAAGTTACCACACAAACAAGCCACTGTTTCAAGTCATCCTCCCGTGGGCATTGCGTCATCACCATCGCAGCGTTTCTGAAACCTGCCCTGCTCACCCGCAGCCAAGACAGTATTACTCCTTCCATGAAATATAGTGGATGTACTCCATGCACAGTGAAGCTTCATGAATATGGTTTTCAGAATTAATTCTTAAATAAGAATTAAGGAGATTTAGGTAGATCAACAACAATATTTCAAGAGTTATTTCAAGAATTATGGGAAATAATGAAATCTGAATTATTGCCTCCACTGACTCACACTAAATCAGTTATGTCCACATTACTGTCCGGGCCAAATTAAATGATTAAATAGCACAAAATCAGAAGCAGCAATATTTATAAAATACTGGTTACAATCAAAGAGCAGTGGCATATTCCATTGACTTCAATTGGTAAATTAAATCCAAAATTTTATCTTTACCACTGAACTCAATGAGACATCAAACTGCTAAACCCTGAATGGACCATGTCTAATATACATGTACACACAATATAATATAAAACAGATCTTAAAAACTATGTATACTTTCTATTGTGTCCATAAAACGTATATATACTATCTAAAGACCCTAAATATCAGGAGTATCATGACTTTTAAGAAAATATCATACATACCCTAGAAGAGGAAGGACAAATAAAGCTGAACAATAAACTGTGAATATACGAGAAAGCCACATTGCTGTGTCCAACTTGTTAGTCATCAGAAATTGCTATAATGAAAGAAAAAAGTTCATACAGAAAACGTTTAATCCCTGCTGTTAAATAAACAAATATTCGCCAGTTGCATAGACAGCAGACAACATCAAGAACTGTGTACTTTATATATGCACACAATGTAAATTAAAAGCAAAAGCAGCATTAGGGCCTTTTAATACAGCAGCCGTTTCGGAGTTATAAAAAGTTGTAGGAATATATTCTATAACTCTAAGGCACGATTTATGAGATTCCCTGGAGAAGGATAAAAAAGGAGAGGCCGTTCCTTTAGAAATGCTGCTGATAGAGACTCACCCACTAAAGACCCAGTCTAGAAATCTACCAAAGAGAAGAAAATAGCTAGAATGCAGTGTTTTCTCAAGAGAATCACCCAGCACCTGTTTCCCATCTTTGGGGGCTCGTGAAAAAACTGACGTACCACCCCAAAGGCCTCTTTCATAGCAGGCCAACCGTCTGGAAGGGTGGCTCCGGTGCAGAGATGGACTTTGTGTGCAAAAGGCCCCAGGCTCGGTTCCTAACGTTTCCATCTCGATCGACCACCAGCCTGACCGAATAGTAGGCAGTACAAATCAATGTCTGTCAGTCAGGCCAACCAGACCCAGGGAACGTCTATACCAGTGTTGTCCAAGCTTGGC